TTTATTTCTTTTTGTATAAAATATCAATAAAAATATTAAAGTAAATTGAAGTACTTGAAATAAGCAAAGTTTAAAAAAAAAGTAGGTAGCAACCAAAGAAAAGCAATCATTACTGCTAATAACAGTGTAATCATGACTAAGACTAATAGATACATACTTACTTTTTACCAGTGGCTTCCCTAATGTTAGTATTCATATTCGGTCTGCCAATTCTAATTGTCAATGTTGATATTTTGCTATTTGTAATTAATATAGGAATTTAATTCAGGGTCTTGTCTATGTTGGTTTCAAAATTTGTATAGTATATCAATCAGAAAAAAGTAAGTTAATAAACAAATAAGACGTCTGCAATAGCTTTTATTAATAAAAATTTTGTTTTACAATCTCTTAAGTGTCAGTTTAATTGATGTTTTATTAACAATATGTTAGCATTGCATGTTTGTTTCTAATCAATAGCTAAGCGAGATTATGTTCCATTATCAACCTGCTTGCGTTTTCAACTTGCTGCGAAGATTCACGGTTAATAAAATTCAATTCACTATAAGACGTGGATCCACGCTGACAATTCGGGGATCAAACCGTGTCTACAACAGTGACGCTTACGACCTCTAAGCAGAGGACTAGCTGATTTATTACCACTTTGTTTAATAAACTCTTTACTTTTCAATAAATCATTTTTTTGCTGTCTCGATTTGTCCTTGAACCGTTATTTTGCTTCAATTTATATTTTCATACAGTTAACTCGTAGATAGGGCAATCTGTGTTGAAGTGACAATGTAACTTGGCGATATCTTTGTTATCTCAAGTGCCTTACAATTTGTTCCACTAAAGTATGCTTTTGTATTGTTATCCTAAACTAGAATATTGTCACGTGGCAGTGCTAAGTAGCGACAATGCTCTAAACCACTTAGCATGCCCACTGCAAACCGAAGGAACAAATTTATGCTTATGTATTATAATAATCCTCTATGCTTGTATTTAATCTTTACCACTTATCCATAATCCTGTAACTTCATGAACTATGCCTCGCCACTCATAATGAGCATGTTTTATAAAAACTCTTTGTGTGTAGTGTTCATGCAAATCATTTGTTCGGTATTTTAGTAATTTCTCTTCTGATTACGTGTAATTGTGCATTTGTGTAAACAAAGTAGTCTTTATATTGTTATTTCTGTTATGTAGTGACCACGAGGGCGGCAATGTGTCTGCTCATACCACCCACTTGGTTGGTTCAGCTCTGAGTGACCCCTACCTTTCGTTCGCTGCGGGTCTGAACGGTCTCGCTGGACCTCTTCACGGTCTGGCTAACCAGGAGGTTAGTACATATACATTAATTATTAATCAAAATATTGTTAATAATATGCATAATAAAGTTATGAGAATTTTGGGAACCATAAAGTAAAAACTCAGAAAATGATTTAAAGAAGTTCATAATAAATAGAAGTACATTATATCACTAGGTGCTCGTTTGGTTGGAGAAACTGCGTAAACAAGTTGGCGATAACTTCACCGAGGACGGACTCAAGGAGTTCATCTGGAAGACCCTCAAGTCCGGACAGGTTGTTCCCGGATACGGTCACGCTGTACTCAGGAAGACTGACCCCAGGTAATAAAGTATAAGTTATTAAAGGGACAATCATTGTTTTTAGGGATTCAAGTAAGATAATAGTAGGGAAAATTGTTGGGCTTCACCCCTATTTTTATGCCGTTTCATATGTTGAAATTATCTTACAAGTTTAGTTAGTAAATACTGAAAAAACTTTATTATTATTAATAGTAATTGATCAAATATTATGTAGTCAACATGTCTGAATATTGTATTCCTGTCCAGGTACACATGCCAGCGTGAATTTGCCCTCAAGCACTTGCCCAATGACCCACTGTTCAAACTGGTTGCTGCTGTGTACAAGGTGGTGCCCCCAATCCTAACAGAGCTTGGCAAGGTCAAGAACCCGTGGCCCAATGTGGACTCTCACTCTGGAGTCCTCTTACAGGTAAATTGCCTTTCTTTGATATATAATAATAACACAAGTACTTCAATGCAAGAAAATGAATAATGTTTTATTTAATTTCCCCACAGTATTACGGACTGAAGGAGATGAACTACTACACGGTGATGTTCGGCGTGTCTCGCGCTCTCGGCGTCCTCGCTCAACTGATCTGGTCTCGTGCGCTCGGCCTCCCCATCGAGCGACCCAAGTCTCTCAGCACTGACATGCTGATCAAGCAGCTGGGCAAGTAATTGTAACACCGAACAATATAAGTTAATTTGTTCAGGCTTGATCGTAATACGTGCTTCAAGTAGTTTATTTATGAAGGCCTGAACAGTAGTACCCACAGTTTGATTCACACATAACACCAATAGTCAATTTTTGTAGAGATATATTTAACTTTTTTTATAAAAATATTTGTCAAAATTAAATCATTCTTACTTATTTATTTTCATTGTAGAATTAAGTGTAATTGATGCATTTTATTTGCGTTGTTTTTATAATTATTGTTGAGTATATTTTAATTTATATCATGATTTACCACTGTACTTATGTCTGTGATGGAACAATTACTTGATATTTTGTACTGTATATATTAGTTGTGGTAACTTTATTTGTAATATTTTTTATTATCTTGGGACTTGTTTTTGGACAAATTGACTTAGTGGTGGTGTGACTCAACTGGAAATTCCACGTAGCTGCCGAAATACGAACTAAAGTAAATAAATAGAAAGAAGTTAGTTGGTCACTTAGGTCGTTTTACGTAGAACATTCATAACAAATGTGCAGTATGCTGTGCATACTGCTTCCTTAGGTGAAATACGATGTTCATTTTGTCGTAATATTTATAACTCATTTGCATTATAATTTCAAAATTGCAGCAAACTCAGTATTGTTTTTTGTACTTAGGTTCAACGGTAGGGCAATTATGAGAGGTTTTGGAACAAATGGTTTGTAGGTACTTAGGAGTGATTGGTCAACGTTGGTTCGTAGACAATTACTGAGTGAGCTAATTTTGCATGCTGCAGTAAGCCTTTGTTCTTCATTCTAAATCAATATTTTTAGTTTTACTGTAATTAATTTCAATTTACCAAAGTATTTACGAGTCTAATGTAGATGCTTAAATTTTAATGGGATCATGTAATATTGATACAGCCTAAATTGAAGATGAAATGTTAACTAAAATCGTAGACATTTTTTGAAGGTGTCGCATCATATTGTCGCGTTATTACATCTCTTTATGTATTGTATTTACAATATGATTATGAGTAACATAATTATTTATATTGAATGTGTATTGACTGGTGCGGAACATGTTCCGAAATTTTATGTTCATTGATTACTTGAGATGACGGTGCGACGTCTTCATATCTTCACAAAACGATACAATATTTGACAATACTAAAATAAATTGGTATGGTGTAGTAATTTATTGACTTTTTATTGGAACCCACTTGACTATTGATTTAAGCTTTGTAGGCCCTTCCGATCCCGAACCATCCTCGTTTAATTTTACTTCACCAAATTAATAGTAGGTACAGAAAGCTTTAGAGATTATTAAAAATAAATAAATATTGATCATGTTAGAAAAAGAATGTTGAAAAATGTTCCTCGTAAATATTGTATAATTTTTGTCCATTCTTTTCTGGTTATTAAAGTTTACCCTGTGTTCATGTGACTGTAGATATATCATTTTATACATAACAATTAAAATGATAGACATAACCATGGCGTGTTTGTTACAGTTACACTAAGAAATATGGTAATTAATTAATGCTCTAAAACAAAAGTTCTTAGGTCTTTACCTCCAGGTTGAGATTTTTTTTTTTAATTATTTGAAGTCATGGTCGAAGAGCTATCGAGATATAATTCGGGGTTTGCTCATGGAAATTCCTTAATGCTGCGCTTACGTTTTTTTATTTTCCTTAACCATATTATCTTTGTCGGGTGTAATTAAAGGTTGGCTGTGTAACATTGGGAGGAAATGTAGTTGAAATAAAACATCCATAATAAGTATGTGTATGAAGTATTTAATCCAACTCAAGCTCGACTTTTGGTAAAAATACTACTTGGTCGGTACTTCAAATTGTCACATACACAATACATTCAAGAATATTTATAAATGCGTCATAAAGAAGTATACAAAATGGTAAGTAATATATGTTAGAAGGTAATAACTAGAAACATTTAATACTAAGGTATAAATGTAGAAAAGGTTTCTTATTTTCTGGTTATTTTAATGTTTATTTTTCGTAATTTGTGCGTTTAACGCGTTAGTTTATGTCATGTTATGTTAAGGAACCACTAAATTATAAGGGCGTATTCCTCTTTGTAAGCACCCAGTTGGCAAAAACCTTACCTAATATAAGTAAAAACGTTCCTAAGAAAAATTCATATACGTAGATAAGTAAAAATTACTTGTTGCACCACAATTGCACCGGATATAAATATCATTGCATAAGTCCCCTCTTCTTACTTGCAAACTCTCATTTGTAATGTAGCCGCATCAAGATTTAACATAGGTAGTTATTATTTATAAACAAAGTTTTAAATACAGTAAATACTTAACTAACATAGATAGTTAATATAAACAAAGTTTTTAATACAGTAAATACTTAAGTAAAATAACCCAGATTATCACAAAAATCATTCACTGAGGTCCACTGTGGGTACATTAACAAATACCTCAGTGCGAAACGTGAAATAATCACGACACAATTGTAAAACAAAACCTTGGTATTTCCGCAACAATGTTCATGTAGGCTAGGTACAACACAACACAATACTGCCATGGTAAATACTGCACTTCTGTTTCACAAATCTTAACTAAACTATATAAATTACTTTAGAAAGTATAAACATTTTTATCGATTGGCGATTATACTTCCAGTCTTCCCTTCCTAGAGCTACGCTCTTATCCACCAGCACCTTTCACCTCCCTCGATTGAGGGCCAGCTTCATGAAAACTTTAAAAATAACAAAAAAAAAAACACAGTATGTGCTTTAAATTTACTGACGATGCCGCCTGGACGATCTGTTGGAGTGTCTGCCGGTCCTAAAAGGATTTACAATCTCAGGCGGGGCGTAAATTGGATCATAGCCGCCTTGTGAATACATAAAGACGGCACGTGGATCTTGCAGACACTGCGACTGTGGAGGAGCACGTGGAGGCGTAGGTTTAGTACCCGCATTGATTTTAGATATGAAGTCTTTAAGTCCGGGAGGTACAATTCCGTTGCAACGTCGTACAGTGTCCGTCGCCATCAGATAAAGAACTTCAGTGACTGCCGCATCAGCAACTACAGGTCTACCTTCCATAGCATTAGCCATCTGCAGGAATACCTCTTTAAAGTCTATGTTCCAGGTGCGCTCAGGTGCCGGTATATACTCGAGCTGAGCAATCATTCTAGCTGTTATTGCTCCTTCTGCACGACGCTCAGTTGGATCAGCTGAAGAGCTAGTTAAAAATTGTCGCCACTCGGACAGCTTCATGCGAGAGCATGGTGGAGGATCTCCATCAGACGGGTACAGCGAGTTTATTATATAAATAATAGCTTGTTTGATTTGACTTGGACTTTTAGAAGGTATTTGTTTTCTAATTTTTTCGATGTCAATATCAACTACTCGTAGTAAACAAAACCTCTCTTCCCTGGACCAACCGGCAAATACATGGCTTTCAGGTTCCATTATTTATGATATGCGAGGGTCAACGTAGATTAATTAATTTAATATACAGGTAAAACACTATTTATCACTCGCTCACTCTCAGCGGAGTTAATTAATTGCGTAATACGTCATGAATCTAATGTTAGCTGTGTAAGAGCGCAAGGAATACTACCCGCGGGAACAAGTCAGAAATCAATACTTGTTGCCAGGCGAAGTGGGGGTAGTGGTTTACGAGTTGCGCTCTCCTCTATTTCGCTATGGCTCCTTCTTAGTTATAAATATAATTCGATCCACTTATAAATATTATTGTAGGTACTTTTACTTATGGGATTTTTAACAATAGTCTATTAGTAGGTACATTTTATGTTGCCAATTTAGTTAGTAATAAATATTCTATTGTCTTTTATGCTATCTGATCTTATGAAATTCGTTGGTATGTAAGTATTAAGAGAACAATTGAATAATCAAACTAGTTACTTCGATAATAAACTTACTGTATATTTATTACCTTATGATAAAAATACGTTGCACTGAATAAAGTTTGCTGGCAACATTACAATATTGTTGATATGCGGGTATTTTAAAATGGAGATCTCTTTACTCATCTGCATACTAATAAATACATCAACTAATGAACTTTTACTATGTAATAGCAGATTAATATAGCTTTTAATTTAGGAATAATAACTCATTGACAGGATGCAACGACGAAATTCGCCACCCTTCCTGTTCCTAAGAAGATCTAATAAGTATGTATTCACGTTTATGTATTTTTATTGAAAAATATATTTTACTGTCTTGTCTTGCCCGTGTCGGATACCTGTAACTGTTCTAATCAACTGGAATGGGGTTGCCGAGCAGCCAGCTTGTTTGCGCGTTCTCTACAATACACTGTATGGTGCACATCGATTGATATAATTGTACAGGCTATCCGAGATAAAAAGGCTTGATATGTAGATTTATTGTGATCCAATGAATTAGTCTTGTCCTTTAATTATTAAGAAATTAAATGATACACCAATGTCCACCCATATTGTATTTATTTATACTACATTCTGCATGTATATTTAAAATGATTCTAATTTTCATTCATCCATCCAATAATGAATTTAACAAACACGAAAATATAAACAGTAATGTAAATTATTGCCTGTGTTTTCCTAATGATAGTAAACATATTATTTTTATATTATAATCTAAACTTCTATACACAAAAGTCACTGTTACGCAATTATTCACATCATCAGCCCATAAGTGCCCACTGCTGAGCAAAGGCCTCTTCTCACACAGAGTAGATTTGAGCATTAATCACCACGCTTGCTCAATGCGGGTTGGTAATTTCAAACTTATATTTAGAGATTATAATCCAGGTTTCCTCACGATGTCAGAGGAGTCTAAATAATCATGGAAAGTACATATAACTCGGAAAAAGACACATTGGTACTAGCCAGGTTTCGAACCCACGCCCTCATGCATGAGAAGTGGGCTCCTTAACCTCCGGGCCACCACGACACAATTATTAAACAGTCTTAATTCACTGTTACAAGTACCTACCTACTTATGAAGTAAGTACCTTTCTGAAACAGAAAATATTTAAACGATGTAATCTGATTTATTTAAAATGCATCAATCTATACTAATATTATATATAAAGAGGTAAAATTTGTAAGTTTGTATGTAGGGGGTAATCTTTGTAACCGCTGGTCGGATTGCCAAAATTCTTTCACTGATAGATAGCTACAATGTTCCTGAGTGCTATATGTCATACAACATCACGCTACGATTAAATGGAGCCGAGCAGTGGGTGAAATTGGGCGAGAGCATCTAGTTTACAATAAAGTTATAAATATGGTGTTGTATAATGTCAATCAATTCCTCCATTACAATCACTATAAAAAGAAAATAAAATCAAAGATAATATGAAGACAATTGACTTAATAAATGATTGAAAAGGACATAAAGATACAGGTCTGTGCGCATTATATTAGGCGTACACGCGAACTATAAAAAATAATCATAAATTCGCACATGACTAGGATAGCAATAACTCGCGTAGTACATAATAATACTAAAACAGTAACTACTTTTATACCTAATATTGCTTAAAAGTTCTGGTGGAAGATCTGTATCACACCTCAGTGTGAACTAAATTGTACTACATTAATTTACTAATATACAGGGTGTAAAAAGACACTTAACGAAGCCGAAAGCCACGTATTCTACCCATTATTTGGATCATTTTTTTCTTTAAGACAATAGCCGGGAGTCCACGGGTTCTCGATAAATTGAGGTCAAAGATGCATTTTTAAATATTTTTTTGCGCAATCGAATTCATAGTATTATTACAAAACTTTTTTCCAAAAAAACATTACCTGAATTTTCGATTGTTCTAAATAAATTACGCATTTGAAGTTACGAACGGTAATGTACGTAATAAATAAATGCTGACCCGCACAAAAAACATCATGCATCTCAGTAGGATTTTTATTTTACAGAATTGTTTTGTTGTTTTGAAGTAAAACGTCGACCTACGTACTTATCACAGCGTTTCTATGCTAAGCTGTGAACCTACGCACACAATGACACGAAGCCCGTTAGCTTTACATTGCGCGCAATAAAATTACTTTTTTTTGTCTTTTCCCAGTGATAATTTTAGCGTTAAAGCTACTTAGTTAGAACTGCAGTACTTAAGTATGCGTAGTAAACGGCTTCGTTAAGTGTCTTTTTACACCCTGTATATTTGTCTAACACCATTTTAAACTAACACATTGTATACGATTTCCTATGTATTTGTACACTATACGCTCAGTTCAATCTCCGGATTTGGTAGTTATAACCCACTTTACTGCTTGTCATTGTTGCTTGCTTTTGAGTTACTTCACTATCTATGATTGGTTCTGGGACATTTTCTGTGTCTGGTTCTATTGTGTAAGTTCTAAGTTCACCAAGCTCATCAATGGCTAGATCTTCATGTCCAACATCAAATGTCATAATTTTTGGATCATTATGAGCTAAACCTTTTGGTATGACCTTTTGTCCTATAGAAATCTGCGTGGCAACAAGTTTTGCAGAGCAGATGCGCCATTCATCAACGATAAGAAGATTTTTGTTTAAGTCCCAACCTGGAAGAAAGTTGTTAACAAATTATGTGTATGTATATTCCACTAATACCATGTTGGTTTTATGATTGAATTATTTCTTAACTACCTATGTTGTCACAAAATAAAATGGTTTTATTTCAATTTATTTTTGTTTTGTCACATTTATTTTTGTATCAAATCAGGCAATTAGCACTACGAGATGAATATACATCTCGTAGTTATATTTGCCTGATTTCAACGAAAACATTATATAAAAACAAAGGGCTTGTTCAATTTATAGTTTTGCAAATCAACTTAGTCATTTTGAAGTGATCATCAAGACCATTTTGTATAACATGAAAACAGTAAAGAAAATGCCCAAGAAAGAGAAACGCAAACTCCTTTGTATTATTGATAACTTAAGCTAAACAAATATTTACTATTATTAATTACGTATATGTACATTAAGTAAATGAAGTACATTATACTCTTTAACCTTTATTCGACAAGGAGCCAATCAATTATGAGACTGTAGTGTTATAATAAATTTTTCATCTAAACAACAAAGAGATTCTGAAAGTTTTCTGCTTTCACTGACATAGTCATTACTGAATATATTGGGTATCTGGTATAAATCAGATGTTTTGAGGGCAGAACTTTGAATAACATAGTAATCATAAACGGTGTGTTTATGTGTGAATGGCAGAAGAAATAATAAAGTATTAAAATAAAATAACGAAATACCAGCAATTGATAAAAAATTCATTTGCTGGTATTTCGTCATTTTATCTTTTAGCTGCATCTCTGTGATAATGTTAATAAATGTTGTAATTAGCAAATTACAAGACATACCGACTTGTTTCAGTCCTTGCCGTAGTTTGAGCCATTCTTTTTGTACGATCTTGTTAAGAAATTCCATAACTTCAAATGAAGGTTCGTAACTAAATTTGCTGTATGGTGGTGCATATTCTATCGGAACTCTTGACCATTCAGCTTGTTTTAAGGTCTCACAGATAACTGGAAATGGTTTCATGAGATTTTCAGGGCTTTTGTAAATATTCTGTAATAAAATACATAAAGTTTTATTAGGAAATAGTACGAAATTAAGAAAAATAATTATATATAGTATTAAACTTGAAAAATTTATTACCAAAGGAATGTCATTTAGCGCACAAATCACTATGCCATACAACATTGCATGAAAGTAAGCACACAAGATGCTGTCAGATGTAGCAGTTTCTCGTAGATAAATGTATATTGTTCTTGTTTCCAAACAATGTACTAAAATATATTCATTGTATTTGTAAACTCCCCTGACATTGATCATAAAATAAGCCTTTGGATTCTTATTCACAAGTTTTTTCATAGATTGGCCTATTTTAATTTGGAATCCGCATAATTGTCTTTCTGTAAGAAGAAACTGCATTAAAGGTTTTTTAACATGGGGTAAAGTTTACACAACCCATGAATTTGTGCTTATTATTTACCTAAAGTATTAGGTCCAATCGGGAAAAATACAACTGGTTCATTTCTGTTTACAGTACAAGGCTTTGCAATAACTTCTTCTCTCAAATAGGTGTCAACTATTTGTAAAAGTCTTGGTTTATTCAAGGTTCTCAAGCAAACTGATCTCACAGCCATATAATTGAAGATGATATGAAAAACCATCATTATTATGAAAACTGTTAGTGAACTCCTGAAATGTTAACATACAATGTATTAAAAACTATAGATTAATCCTACTAATATTATAAATGGAAAAGTTTGATGATGATTTAGTATTATCAACTATACGATTTTACGAGTATAAACATTTTTAAACCCACCACTTTTATTATGATTCATTCCTTTGGAATGATTGTATTAGGGAATGTTTGTATGAGAAGTTTGTATTACAAAGAAAAATTGTTATTTTTAGTATTTTAAATGCAATTATTATATAATTTGTCATGCTTTAAACATTCACTGGACTTCGACAATTATTTCAAGTTAATAGTATCCAAATTGGTCAAACCATTTTGAGCCTAACGGGGACTTATGAATAGCAATTGATTTTAACACAAATAAGACGAATATTTTGAAATCTTTAAAACTATTTATAACTTTATACACACCCAAAGATTGTGATGATTGTCAAAGCTGTTAGGGAGGCAATAAGATTAACAGCTGTTTCTTGAGCAGAGTCTTTCGCCGACACATCTGCCAAGTTGCTCCTAATGGCATGATGTTGGGTCATAGCTGCTCTGGTCGCACCTCCTGAAACCATTAATAACTATATATAATTTTAAAACTGACTGAATGACATATTTAATTTATATATATGGATCCTATAGCAACAATCCAGCAATTGCCATAATTATAATCTGCTATCTTGATTATATTGAGGACTCATGGAGGTTCTATTTAGTTGTAGCATGATGTTTTATAGCCAATAGCAATCAGGAACATTGTAGTTATCAATAAGTGAAAGAATTTTGGGAATCCGACCAGCAATTCTAAAGTATACCCCCTATACACAAACTTTACCTCTTTACAATATTAGTATGTATAGATCAGTGGATAGATCAGATTATTATCTCAGTAATAATATATTAGTTCTACTGGTGCTCGTGATCTGGGTATGAATTATTTTGCATAAAATGTGAATGGACTTTGAAACTCATTGATTCTGGAAAAATAAGTGTAAATAAAAGAAAAAAATGGAATAACACATACCCGCCACTCCTACAATAGCTTTCATTACAGTGCTAACACATAAAACTGCTGTGGTGTAGTTTTTGAAGGCTGGTAAAGCTATTTCTATGCACATTGCTGCATCATTTAGCACATCTGCATACAGTCGCCACTTTTTACTGTAAGCATCTAGGTGAGTACTGAAATCATGAAATATGATGTTAATAGAATTTTAATGTAAGTACAATTATTAAATCATGTTCTACCTTATTGGTAAACCACCAGTGAACACCTGGTTCTGGATCTTGGGACAAACAAATTAACTATTGCATTCAATGGCTTGGTGCTCTTCTTATGGATATTGGAAATACAGCTCATGAAAATATAATTATAGGTGTTGTTTTTAATGTGCATTACCTAATCAATTTCACTATTAATTTCAAAATTAATTATGTTACCCATGGCTGTAAGCAAAATAAATCTTCCCCAAGTGTCCACAGCCATCCTTAAGAACCCAAGTCACAGTGGCTGCTAATGGGGTTGCAGTAGTGTCGCCAACTCCAACACCCCTTAGAACTTCCTGGGTGGCCAAAATCCCTATAAAAGAAAGTTACCGTTTGTGCTGTCTTAGATATAATTTTGCAAATTATTAATAATTAATATATTTCACCAAATGAATAAAATAAATGCAAAGCCCCTTTCATAATTCAGGAAAGCTGCAGTTATGCCACAGCATGACTGGAGTGATACCATGACCTCACAGAAAATTCATGTAAAACCAACACACCATTCTGTTTTAAAATGTGAGTAAGGTTAATATAGTCCCAATACTTCTTCTCCTCCAATCATTTAATCCTCAAACCTAGATCCCCATTCTGGCAACACACTTGGTAACTCCGGGTGTGGCATGGGTCCATTTGTGGCGCCGATTGCTTACGTAAGTAAACTGTGAGCTAGTTTCCCATCTCATCACATGCTTATAAAAAAAGCACTTACATTCAAGCGACTAGAATATACAATATACATATTTAAGAGAAAAATTACCAGTGATTGTGCTGCAGAAAGCTTGTGCTGTATCCCATATTTGGTAGTTTGTATAATCTTTGCTTACACTATATGGATACCCCTGTGGCAGGAACACTCTTGTAAATAAATTTGTGAATTCATTAGACTTTTCCTCGTCGACTACCACAACATTTGATTGCTCTGTAATCAACAATGACGTGGAATACACGACACCCATACTACATAAGTTAAATACTAAGTTACGAGTTCAAGATCGGATAATTACCTGGTGGTTTCACGTAGAATCTTTGTTTTTTAACAGAACCGTATATTTCTTTAAAAATTACTTCACCTTCATGAATAGTAAACATTTTACCTTATAATTTTTCTACCTAACTTTCTATAGGGCGAGATGCACACGTAAACAATATGATTTATACAAATTAAAAAACTAAGATTACAATATTTACGGTTGTATATTTATATTTGTTTTCTTTCCTTATTCTATCTATTGTTCATGAACAGTGGTTAGTCTTTAAATGCCATTAATTATATGCCCAAAGATCTCAATAATTTGTTAGTGATCGCTTGGAAAGCAGAACATTGTCATGTCATTATTGTCAACATTGGACAAACAATTTGACAGTTGACAGTAGGTATTGAAAATTACTGTTGGCATTGGCATTGACAGTCGGAGTCGACTGTCGAGTAAAGTCGTAGACAAATGTACCCACAGACCTACAATAATATGGACCAGAAATACCTACAAATTCCGCGTGTATACCTAATGTCAAAATGGCCCTTAATATGGCTGCCATTGCTAGGGAAATACTGTAGTCAAAACCAAAAAGTATCGAGATCGATAGCTGAGTTTCATACATTTCTTCTGGCAGGTACTTCGGATTTTTTTTGAAGGTAGAAATCGTCGAATGACTTCTCACGCTCTGGGTAGAGCAAGGGAGTATGGAGCATATTAGACTTTTACTGGCTAAAACCATACCTGTATTCTTCAGTTGCAGTTGCTCGTCGCGTTTCTTTTAGAAACGCGTGGATCACATGTTGATGACTGAGCTCACAACAAATCATCAATTAGGTCAAAACAAAATGCTTAATTTCAAAGAGATAATAAGTCATTTTGATATTTTTATATTGTTTCAATGATAAGGGTGGTTGAGTTACCATGAAGGAAGACAGTTTTTCGACATTTTCGATTTCACGCAGAACCAGCCCTTGTGTTTTTTTTTTGAATGCTGAAAACTTTTTTTATGATTTTTAAATAATATCGTATTTTTATCACTAGAGTCAAACACAAAATTGTGTAGAGGTATTTAATAATATTAAACTTGACAAACAATGATATTAAAGCACTGGATGAATCGACAGGCTGATCGAGAAATTAAGAACAATGTAATGTTAATTAGGTACTTCACTTACAACAAGGTCGATTGACAGTACTGCATTATCACGCAGCCTTATAACATCAAGGGTTTTTGACGGATAATTCTGCGAAGTGATATGAACAAATACGTGGTGCTTTAAGTCCAGGTTTGATATTTTCCGTCCCAATCACTTCAAGCCACTTCTGACGCAGACTTCATTTTTAGGGAATCTGTGCAAATAAACAACATACAAATTATTTCAGTTTGGTGCATTTAGTGGAACAAATCATAGTGTCGTGCCGGCCGCCATAGTATGGGCCCATAGTTTTGTAGTACGTCAGGTGTCAAGCGAACAACAATATCAGATTTAAATTGCGATTTTTAAGATTAAAAACGCTCCCAACTTAATTGTTTTGTGCTGTGAGTGTCTAGTGGTTCATATTCAATGTGCCTAATTGCTCAATAATTCAGTGTGGGGTAAGGAAAAACCCCAAACAACCTCATTTGACCATACATAGGTTAGTAGCCGTATTTTAAGAAAAACTTTGTCATACTATTAGTTTTTTTGTATTGCCTTGTTTTATTTATAGAATAAAAGCCCCCAATTGTACATTCAATTTGTTTCTGATATCTATCTCTATTTGCTAAATTTATTTTTTGTTTTGTTTACAATACAAAGGACGATTTACAATAGTGATGTATTTTATTTAATAACGTATCGATATGAAACTAACATTGTTTTAGTTTAATAATTGTGGTGTCCAGTAGAATAGGGTATCAAAATAAAGAGACCAAAGAGACGATTTTAAAAATTATTCTTACAGAATAGGGTTAAAAATAGGCATGGTAGCAAAACATAACAATATCAATTCTTCATAAAGTAGATGCTGTCATTTAGTTCAGCTTATGATTTGTTCCACTAAATGCACCAAACTGAAATAATTTGTATGTTGTTTATTTGCACAGATTCCCTAAAAATGAAGTCTGCGTCAGAAGTGGCTTGAAGTGAAGATTGGGACGGAAAATATCAAACCTGGACTTAAAGCGCCACGTATTTTTTCGTATCACTTCGCAGAATTATCCGTCAAAAATCCTTGATGTTATAAAGCTGCGTGATGATGCAGTACTGTCAATCGACCTTGTTGTAAGTGAAGTACCTAATTAACATTACATTGTTCTTAATTTCCCGATCAGCCTGTCGATTCATCCAGTGCTTTAATATCATTGTTTGTCAAGTTTAATATTATTAAATACCTCTACACAATGTTGTGTTTGACTCTAGTGATAAAAATACGATATTATTTAATAATCATAAAAAAAGTTTTAAGCATTCAAAAAAAAAATCACAAGGGTTGGTTCTGCGTGAAATCGAAAATGTCGAAGAACTGTCTTCCTTCATCGTAACTCAACCACCCTCATCAGTGAAACAATATAAAAATATCAAAATGACTTATTATCTCTTTGAAATGAAGCATTTTGTTTTGACCTAATTGATGATTTGTTATGGTGAATAGAGGTACTTTTATCCAAAATGTTTTGTCGTTTTAATAAACTTGTAACCATAGAGCAACACGGGTGCAACATGGGTTGCTCGCCATCTGGTAACTAACCGGACTGAGCTCAGTCATCAACATGTGATCCACGCGTTTCTAAAAGAAACGCGACGAGCAACTGCAACTGAAGAATACAGGTATGGTTTTAGCCAGTAAAAGTCTAACATGCTCCCTACATCCTTGCTCTACCCAGAGCGTGAGAAGTCATTCGACGATTTCTACCTTCAAAAAAAATCCGAAGTACCTGCCAGAAGAAATGTATGAAACTCAGCTATCGATATCGATACTTTTTGGTTTTGACTACAGTATTTCCCTAGCAATGGCAGCCATATTAAGGGCCATTTTGACAGTAGGTATCCACGCGGATTTTGTAGGTATTTCTGGTCCATATTATTGTAGGTCTGTGACGCAAGCACAGTAAAAATATCCTTGACGCAAGGTAGGTACCGTGACAGAAAGGTAGAATTGTTGCCAGGTAGAGAATAAACAAACTACATGACGTCTCTTTCTTCAAATGAGGTTACGCATTGGTTAAAAAGAGATAAAGTATAGTTTCATATTTCAACATCGATTTGATGTATATTTGTATAAGCAAGTAAGCTATACATCATTACAGCGCATCTATGTAATACTAAATCTATGGATGTACCTAGACAGAGAACCTCTATTCTCTGAGGTTCTCTGTCTACGAGTGAAGTAATAGTTTTATTTTAATAAACAACATTGTTTTTGGGCAAATAGCAATGGAAGCAATTGAACAACAAGTGAAAGCGAAGATAATATGCGTGCTCCTTTCTTCCACCATTTATACTCAGCCGAGGTTGCAGGGCAAGCGCAATATCACAAGCCCACAAAAGTCTGAAACTCTTTCTTTCCTTACCCTGGGCGAGATAAGTCATTTGATGATTTTCCCCTTTCAAAGAAGCAGCTATCTAAAACGTATGTAGCGCATAAAATGGACAACTACTCTTTTTTAGTCAACATTTGAAAAAAGGTAGTGCATATATAAGACTCCTCTCCAAAGAAAACGCCAAGAACTCAAGTACACAATCATTATTTATTTATTTAAAATATCGCTACCTATCGCAACCGGTTACTGCTGACAACCATAAATTCAATTTTCCCGCCATGTTTAATTTTTTTTTGTGACCACAATTGAGAAACTTAAATAATAAGAATGTTAAAATATAAACTAAATACAGGTACAAGGTTTGAAATAATCCTAAACCTTTCATGTAAAAGAAATTGAAATTAGAATAAAACAAGATTGAAGCGCCCTAATTTAAAAGTCATACATCATTTAATTATTTTAAAATAAATCTTTTAGTAAATATAAATGCATATAAAAGGATGAAATGTATATAATAATAGAGCACAAAATAACAAAATGTAGAGCACATAATACGCATTTCGCAATAAATCTGAATTTCTGAATGATTGAATGCATTTAATCTTTGTCTGTCATCGGGTCATCCATCACAACACTGTAGTTATTTTTGTTATCTGTTGTTGAATGAAAATTGAAATATAAAAAAGTTAAAAATAAACTTGAAAACTTGAGCTAAAGAATTAAAATTTCGAGAAAGAACAAAAAACTAGTTTCCGCTTTATACAAAATCATACAAACACTAAAATAACTTTGTTAAATCAGTCGAAGTGATTGAAAGTATGCTCCCGCAAGTTTTAATAGAATTAAAAATCAAGTTATAGGCAAGTGCATTCTTCAAAAGGATTGGTATGGACAGTAATGGCAAAATAAAAATGTTAATGTGCATTTAGTTGATAATGGCACTGAAAAATCAATCGGGCTATGTGGATGATAATATCGGTATTAAAGTAGAAGGAGAGCTAGGAGATTTTCAAATAATTGAAGAAAACAGCGACAGTGATGGTGATATCGAGATAGATAGCAAAAGTTCAAGGACGACAGGCGCTGTAGCTACCATCCCTTCAATCCCACCGAGCTTAGTAAAGCCAAACAGCAGTCCTATACAGGGCAATGTGGCAGTGAGTAACTCTGAGAATGTTGTGATTGGTAACCACACTTACTTTAATGGACCTGTTATAATCAAGCAAGTTATACAGAATGCACCAGGATTAGAGAATCCCTCTTATGTTAAAACTGATGACGAAGACATTCCAACACAAAAGTATGAAAGGGAAACAAAAAATGATAAAAGTAAGTACAGTAGTCTATCAAAAATATTATAATACATTACTTTGTCTATCACATTATCCTTTAAAAAGCAATTGCTGCGAAGTCACATATTTTTCATCAATTGGCTGTCTGTGTGTCTGCCATACTTAAACTGAATAAGCAAGCCGCTTTATAATGTGTTGTGTAGTTGGTGTTTATAACAAGTATGTAGATATATATTTCTACAATGCTCACAGTCAGTATGTAACTAGGCCATGTGTACAACTAGCTAAACTGCTTTTAAACACATAAATTGAGGAAAAAAGTCTTTGAGTTATTTCACATCTGTGCACAAGAAATAAATTATATATATGTATATAATGTTCTGATTAATTTGTTACTGATATTTGCAAAGTCATCATTATGTTTTTTATGATGTTCAATATAAAGCAACAAGTTATATCAATGCTATTTATACTATACTATATGTATTCATGAGCTAGGAGGCACAGCTTTCACTTTGCTTCCTATGTATAGTAGACTAAAACTCTTGGGGGGAAA